CGACAAGAGTGAAAAAATTTCACCTCTCGACTGGTTGCACTACAATGTGGAAAGTGCATACGATTCCACGTGACCGAACATATCGCGACGAGTCGATTCTGGCGAGTAGACGCAGTTGCGGCTTTCCCGAGAAAATTACAACGGCGGTTATTTTTATTTAGTCGCGTAGAAATTGAAGAATTTCCAATAGCTCCATAACTTCATCACGGTGACGTTTCAACCATCAAAATTCGATATCCCGACGATGCCTCGCTCCTTTATCGAACTCTCAATCACGAGCCCGCGCGATTTTCGAGCGGCCGGTGATTTACGAGCGACGCGCGTCGATATCGTTCCGGTTGATTTAATGGAATTCTCATCGTCGTGGCGAAAATAGAGCAACAGGAGAAAAAATAACGGAGAAAGCGGTGAAAAAACGACGCGCGAAACCGTAGCCAGAAGAGAAAGCGACGGAGATAGAGGGACGAGTCGAGTTTGAAACCACGATAGTACTCGGCCACGAGCAACAATACTCCTTGTATACCGCGAGCCACGTTTTTCTTCCATTGTCGCGCATCGTTGCTATTGGGAGCCGTAAATGTTCAGACAAAGCGTGCACAGAATCGGGTCGTACACACGTGGCGCCATAAAAGACGGCTAAATGGAAAGTATGGCCGTGTGTAGTTCGGTGATTTCGTTCGGACAAGCTTGTAATTAAGAGTTTGATCGATGCACTTGTTACTTCATATTCCATAGCCGCGGGAAAACGGTTTATTCTTCGCGTTAAATAACTGTGGCGTTGGTAATTGGTAGAAAAATATCGATTCCATCGACGCACAAATTTTGACCTTCTTCCAAAGAAAGCCCGCAACCGCTATTCTCGGCTACAGCGAGTCCCGTGGGTATCGATGGAAAGCGAAAACGTTCATTCGATTCCGAAATAGCCCACGCGTGTACACGGCCCTTTGAAGATTAACGAGACCGATCCTGAAACCCCTTCCATATTCAATAGAACTCCTTTCTTTGGCTCTGTTCGCGCTTCGAGACCACATCCGACCGAATTCGAACCATTTCCCTGGAAAACGTAGTTATCTTCGCTGGGTCTCGCGCATCGACGGGGGTGCGCCATTCAGAGGGATAAAAGGGGGTGAAACGAGGAAAACAAAGGTATAGGCTCGTGTGAAGAGACGGTGTAACAAAAGCGGTGATCGTTATCGAGCAAGCAACCGCCTTTGTTCCGTCGTTTTCATCTCTCGTTCGCTCTTACGTTCATCTTTTTTCTTTTCCTTCGCTATCATTTTTCTAGAACAAGAGCACGGTGTACTCTACAATCCTGACTTTATTAACCATTCGAGATCCGAAAAGTTGACCCACATCTGCGAGTCCGAGTTCACGCGCGGAGAGTTTGCCTCTAATCGCGTTTTCGAGTTCACCGTACGAGTGGATGCATTAGATCAACCAACAAGTTCTTTTTCTTTGATGTTGCAGCGATTTCCTGCGCATGCCTGTCTACTGTACAATTCCGCGTTTAGAAATGTACATCAAGGTGCAAGGTTCTCGTCGTTTCAAACGTGACCATGAAAAATGAGGCCAAGCGAAGGGCACATATTCATACCAACTATTTTTTCCGTTCCTTTTGTGCAGAAACTAGGCTTCTGACGGGTGCACTCGCTTTATAACGTACTCTTTATATTGGAGAGATCCATCTTCTTTATAAAATCACGAACACGCGGCACTGAGCCCGTGAAAAAGCCCGCTTTTGAGCCTGTTCGATTGAAACATATAAACCGGACATAATGAACAAGGTACCTAATTATGTTTGATAAAATAAGGTCTCCTTTAAAAAAGGAGTTTAACAATCTACTCAGCGAACAGTAGTTAGAATTCCAAAATACTTTCCCTGTTCGAAAACAGCAAATATCTTTGAACGATGAATGGTAAATAGCAAGAGAAAAAAATAAAATTCCGCGAAGGTGAGGTTAAAAGGTGGGACAGCAGTGTCACCGGGACGTGTAACGCGGTGAATTTTCAAAGCTCGGAAATCGTTTCTGCCTGGCGCAAGCCCGCTTTGCTGAATTTGATTTAACTTCCAGAAAATCTGCTTGGAAAATCACAGGAATCGTAGCGTTCCCTTTTCGCGACGGTTTCCTGCCGTTTCTTAAAGAGGTCGGGTCTTTGTCCGAGATCTGCTTAAATAATTGGCAAACTTTAATCGACGTACGGTACACTCGTCTATACGTTCTCTTTAAAACTCGAAGGAGAAACAAATCTGCTCGCAAAGGAAACGAGTTCTTGCGCGATTAAAAACTTTTGCCTGGATGATTGTTATTCGATCAAGCTCGATTCATTTTCGGTAAAGATTTGCAGGAATCTACGAAAGACGAGGTATCGATCCACGCGAGAGATCTCGGTAATAGAAAAGTCAAACTGAAATGAACGCAGCGCAAAAGTTGGAGAGGAAATCAAGGAGGACGGAAAAGTTTCTTGCTCGACGAACAGCCTCTCGGAGAACAACCACGTCCACCAGCAGCTCGAGGAATATTCATTTTAATGGTTGATATAACGTGGATATTGGTTACGGCTGAAACGCTACGTGTCCGGAATCTCGGATGCCGTCACGCGCCACATGGGATATACAATATAAGAGGTGAACCGAGTTTCGATATTCGAAATCAAGACTGTGTAAAAATGGAAGATCCTGCTTATATTTCGCGACAATCTTTTGAATTTCCCTTGCATATTACTAAAGTTTGACCATCTCCATTTAAGTTAGAATCTGTTACACAACCGAAACATGGGTGTACATTTATTTTCGAGTTCTTAAACATTTGTATAATATAGATTCACTAAATCCCTGTGTTTGCAAAAAAATATTCTGCAAACATCTTCTTAATTGACAAATCAATTTATAAGGAATAATTTGAGTCGAACGAGTATTTTATTGTGCATAAAACAGCGAAGCAAAATGGTATGAAAGAGTTATAAACGGTAAAAGTAATAAATTCGGAAGAAAGTCATAAATTTGGCAAGAAACACTGTTCTCGTATTCGGGTTCCTAATCGCCCACGAAAGCGTCGTTTGTTCCTGGCGTTCCAGCGGGGTAAAAGAACGAATCCCTGGTAAAATATTGAATTTATTTTTTTCAAAGCAGTTCGTTTCAGCCGCGAGAAGCTTCTTATTCAAATGGAGACGCGGATCGTGCATTGAATGCAAATGGCCGAGACGTAACGCGATAGGGGCTTTAGTTTCCCTTTTTCTCTCTTTCTCTCAAACCTGTACGCGCTCTCGAAACTTTCCGTCAAGTTATGCGAGAGAAGTTTTAACGAGAACTCCCATGATTCCGACGCCTATGGGACGCTCGGAAAAGTTCGTTTTTGACGAGACGAGAAGCACGTGACGAATTCAAATCAGCCGTAAATACTTTGAACAAACATTCCGCGCAGAAACTCCACCGCTAAAATACTGTAGTAGAACCGAAACAGGTAACGACGTTGTTAATTTACGGTTCCCGATTTGCTACATCGGAGGATCAACACCTAGATAAATTAAAACAAGGCATCAATTACCTTTGAAGAAGTAAATTCGGAAATTTTATCGCGCCGTTTATCGTCGACAATCGGCAAGTATCAGAGCGTCATAAATGGAGTCGATCGCATTCGTAAATTGCTCGTTTCAGATGAAATAGGCTCGGTTACTCTTTCGCAAGAATGCCAACAGAGTTGGTGTAAAGTCGGCAACTTTTGTTGCGAGTCGGTTCAATAAACACAAATTGCGGGACGGCACCGAACGAACAAAAGAATGGCCGTTATGCAGCGGCTCGAAGAAAAGAAGACTAATATCCTTTCGGTTCGAAGCGCGAACGGAACTCCGTTGGTCTGCGCGAAATATTTCACCAACCTCGAAGGATTTTTAGTTTCCACAGTTGAAAGCGCGGGATGGTCGATCCGCGACTCATAGCGAATTCCCAGTGGTCCCGAGGCTTCTGTCTCACAGCTACCGGTTAAAAGCAACGTAAGTGCGCCCGCAAAGTTTTTCGTCATTTTTAACAACACGGAAAACAGCGAAACCGCGTTCGAAACTTCTGTCGCTTGATTCCTACCTGTTTGTAAAAACCGGATTGCAAAACTTGGTCCGTATGTGACGAACGATGAGAAACAAACACTATACACCGAAGATACCGAGTATTTATCGAGAGGATAACAAGACTGGTGAAACTACGCGAATATTCTGATTACGCAGACCATTCGTTACGTGGTTGTAGTTCTCGCTCCACGACGTATTTATTCGTCTTCGATTGTACGCCTCGTTAAGCGCTCGCCAGCGTGTGAATACACTCGACAAGGTTATTTTAAGTGTATGCGAAGAATTATGGATGGCCAAGGTTAAAAGGCAAATACAGATGACCCTATTGGCTCGTTGGAGCTCTGCCAAGCGGGAAAGTTAATTTTTAATTCTGACCGGAGAGAGACAATCCCGACGGGCTGGCGAGAAATTGCTGGGCTTGCCGAGATTCGCAGTGATTATTTTTACGATGCCCCCATTTCGACAATTATCGACAATTTCAATTCCCGTTGGTTTCATTTTTCTATTGGCCAAATAAGAGCGATTGATATTAAGCTGTTTCTACTTTCGATAATTTTCACTTTTAATCGAGTGTCGCAGTACCGATAAAGTCCCTTATAACTGTAAGAGCAGCGAGAAATTCAGGTAAAATTTCCAGTTGCGTTTCCTACCCTCTATACGTCAAGATGCACTTTAACGATTTGGTTTTTAAAAACCTATCTTAAAGCGAGATACGATTGAACGAGTATTAAATCTCGTTGAACCGTAAATCTTTCAAACGTTCCTGTATCAACCGTATTTCTGTGCGGTATCGCGTTACCCAAAAACGCGAAAAATCAAAAAAGCTAGGATTTCGGTAGCCAAATCGCTTGGCCGGAATCCGTTTGTAACGCAACCTCGACGATACGCAACGTAATTCGGTAAAGGTAACTAAAAGGATTAAATCCTGTCGCGCTCACCTTGAACCATCAGCTTGATGACAGCTTCCGGTGTGCTGCGGCTGTTCACCAAACAAGTGTACTCGGCGGTGTCCTGCGCGGTAACGGGATGAAATTGTAACGCGTAGTTTTTCGAATTTAACGACACTCTGTTCCGGTGATTCCACACGGTGGTCGTGTTGCTGCTGTACTCCAACAATTGCGTGCCGTCCGCCCGCCATTCCAGCATCAGTATCAACGAATCCTCCGTCACCCCCGGACAATTCAGCGTCACGTTCTTGCCAGCCTCGACGACCATCTCTCCCACCATGGAATCTGAAAATCCCAGAGATCACTTGTCGTTACATTCGTCACGTGTAGACCGTTATCGCGGGAATAAAAACCGACCGTGCAGGATCCGCCTGCGTCAGGACCATTTCACTAGGGGCCAGATAAAACGAGACAATTCTACGCGCTTCGATCGCTTCTATTCTGGTCATAACCTCACCCATCACGGTTCCCGTAGAACCAAACGAATTGACGGGTTATTGATTAGAATTACTCTGCGAGGACACTGAACGTATCTTTCAAAAAATACACCTCTCGGAGGAATTACGATTCTAAGAGAGGCATCAGCATGTTTAAATTTATGAAAGAGATCGTCTCTGAAAGTATTGGACTCGTTAAAGTGTGTGTGTTTACTGCGAAGACACTAAACGTTGGGTAAAAGTAGACGCGATAAGCAGACTTGAACGGTATCAACGTTTATCGCGTTAACACGACAACGATCGTCGCTGTGGCATCGATAGAAGTTCGAACAGTTTCGTTTCTCACGGACGACATAAAAGAGCACGAGTACTTTTATCGCGTCTACGATCGACCCAAAAAGCACCGTGTCGTACCGTTATCATTCCATTCTATCCGATCGCGCTTCAATTTTACCGCGCTTCAGGTAAATGATACTTCTACTCTTTTTTTTCGTTATTATCGATGATCGACGGAACAGATTCGATTATGATTGTGGAATATGTTATTCGTTGGAGATGCGATAACGCGAATGTACTTGTTTAAATAATTAAAGGCTTATGCTGGTAACGTGAAATATTAATTTAAAGATGTCGATCGAAAAACTTGAGCGTAATGGCTGTAACAAATTGACATTTAACGCGTTAAACTCTGCACTGTCGAAGACACGTATCTTTCTTTTTACAGAATGAAAGAGTTCATTTGGAATGGGAAATTTCCATTTCATGAATCGTGAATTTCACTTTGATAAACTTCAAATATCTGCCGGCACAAAATTAACTTCATCTCTTTCATTATTCTCTTTTCAACGCTAATGAAACAGTAATGGGAAGAAAGATTTTTCAGTATCCAAAGGGCAGCAATGAAACCGGGTCTCTTTTAGATTTGTTTTCAATGAGCATTGTCTAAATTTCACGCTGCTTTTTCTACATTAAACAATGATATACATGTCTTCTGTCGCTTCTTAGCCCCTTTGATTAATCGTGGTCCTTTTAAAGGACCACGCTAAAGCAAATTTCAAAAAACCTCCAACTATCACCGGTATTCCAACAAGGGGTTACGTATTTTCGAAGTTTCGAAACGTCACCTGTTAATAACGGTGGGGGAGTAAATTGTTCCATTATTAAAATTCCTCCGTTCCAGCAGCGTCGGACTCGTCTTTCCGTCCACGGTTCCATTACCCCGAACCATTTTCCTACAATTCGGAGCCTGCCTCGTCCCACGAATAAAATTTCTCTGTCGTTTATATTTTTTTTGCCGGTGGTCATGAATTCGAGCGTGTCGGCTTCGTTGTATCGAGCAGCGGTTTCCCATGGAGAAAAAAAGAGAATCAACGTAATGGAACACGCGTTGGATCGACAGTGTGCGGCTGGATCGCGATTCTCGCTACCGAAAGGTCGTTGCGACGTGATTCACCAAGTGATTCCATCTCCAATCTCTGATAAACTCGTGTGCGCGCTACCGTGTCAGTATTCGGTTCACGCGCGCGTATTCATACGTGCATAAAGTCCAGTATCTTCCTCTCTCCGTTCACCCCAGAGCTCGTTTACCTCTCCTTGTTTCTCCGCCGGTTTCGATCCGTCGATCGGCGTCCGTTCGATTCTCTTTCGCGGTCCGATTTCGTGAACATAACGTCGATCGAGCCGCGTCCACGCTCCTGCGGCGTTGAACTTTGATCATCCGACATTCTGCATCAATTTCGTAGTCCCGGCCGGAAGTTACGATGGAAATTACTCCGAGACTTTGCCCATAATTTCATCGCCTGCATTATAACTTCGGTACACTCATCGGCTTCCTGGCTCCGCTAATCGTGAAACGAGCGAAATACACGCGGCGAGCGTGCCCCCGAGGATGTTATCGCTGACGGTGTCACGAACCATTTCAACGATCCGTGACACGCCGGAAAAAGAACTCGATCAATTCAACCTGTTTTTGATAAACAGTATTTCGGTTTACTCTTTTTATCGCTTCGATGCACGAAGAAAACTCCTTAATCGACGTTCTAGGGAAAGTTGTTCGTTGCGAAAGCTAACAAAAATCGAAAGAATTTTGTAGTTCGATGTGCAATATTTTAATAACACTCGCACACTTTTTGGTCCTTTCGTGTAAACGAGAAATTCATAACTCGAACGTCGATCAGCGACGCGTTTCCAATATTTTTCTTCAAAAAATATACAGCACGTGAAAGAGGTAAAACGGGGAACAACCGGAAGAAAGTTGTAACCTAACGCAGATTTAAAAATGACCCTTGTGCTAGAATTTATAAGAGCAATTCGAGCTAGGTCCGGGTTAAATGGTCTAAACGCGTTCTCCGCTGCAACTCGCCTTCTATTTATAGTAGCCTTTCGTCTTCCGAGCGTTGTAGCTTTTCGTCGATTCGACGAGAGGCCAGGAGAAAAAGTGCATCGGAAAAATGATGCCAGTTCGCGTAGCCAGCAGCTGTTTGCAGTGCTGTCCGACGAAGCAACGGCGCGGAGCGAAAAGGACGAGCGGGGAAAAAGAGGATCGGGATAAACTGGTGCACGCAGCGAGCGATAAGGATATTGCTCGACGAACAGGACGAACGTTCGAGCACGCGAAAGAATCGTAAAAGCCGCGGGGAATTACTGTACAGAGAAATACTGCTCGGAGAACCGAATACGCGTATATTACTATCGAATCGACCAACGATTTTGTCGTGAAAACGTGGAAACTGAAATCGATCTTTCCCTTTCGTTCCGATTATCAAAGCATCTATGAGAAAAGCAAAGGAGGTTTAGGTCAGGGCTTTTCAAACTCTTCCCAGTCGAGAGACGCTTTGGAGAACAATTATTCTTCGCGACCTACTTGGTGCTTGTCATGTTTGAATTCTCTGAATTCCAAAGTTCCGTAGACTTATTTTTGGAAACGTTCATTTTTCATGATCCGCTCGCTTGGAACGTATATTTTGAAGAGGTGCATATTTTATCCGAATAAAAGCCGCCGTTTCACCGCATTAGAATATTATATATTTAAATATCTGACGTTGGGAATTAGTTAACAATTTAGTTTTAGAAATCTCTGGAATAGACATTGTTCGTTAATTCGTACAAAGTTAATAGATTAGTGAAACACGATGTTGAACATCGGAGGAGCGCTGTTAATAATTCGTAACGACGAATGAATTGCTATGTAAAAGTAAGCTTTCGATGGTAAATTTGATTACTTCTTTTTCTAACCGAAAAGATACATCGTTAACGAAACACGCGTATCGGAAAAATCCGACGGAACTCGAAAAGATATCGAAAGCCCGTTGTACATTTTGTTTGTCTATTTACTCGAAATGAAATTAGAACGCACAAAGGGATGTTTCTTTTACCTGTACGCGGATAGCGAACGAATTGCCTGAAATTCAAACGGCCGTGCCATAACGTTGCTTTAACCGGAAACTGTTCGAACCGATAGAGGCTCGGAGAGAACGGCGGGCCACAAGGAAAATATATTAAACGATTCGACTGGATGGAGACTGTGCTTCCATTATCAGAGGAAGTCGAGTACCTTATTCCGTGAGATATATTTTAGTCGCGACGAAAGGGGACGAGAAGGGGACGATCGAATCGGAGAGTACGGGAATAAACAAGGAGCAGGTTCTTTCGAAGGATCACGTTTTCCGAACAGGGTGGAGGGACTAAACTTTCCGTCACTCTGGTGCTCGTCTAACTCTACGGTCGATGGAAGGCCATTTCGCGCGCAAGTTAACATAATGTAAAAAGTTTCCTTCTCGGCAGTTGATAACGCGTGCCTTCATCGTAACGCGAGTCTTCGAGCCTCGATCAAAAAGTATACGCTCGTCCGTCCGCGTGATCGTCGATCGTTCCACGCGCAAATATGCGTCAAAGAAATATCGCCGCTTTATGAACTTGCTCCATAAACGGATCGAACGTTAACGCTGTTCTTTGCTCTTTGACCTCTGCCGGAAGTACACCGGAATCCTCTTGTCCGGCCGTTGCCGTGGCACCGAGGTCAATTTATCGGACGACGTCGTCTCGCTGATGGCGCTATCAAAAAATACCTCGTATCATCGAACATGCCAACTTCGATATTTGTGCACCGTTTATCATAAATCGTGCGGAAAATTCCTTAGGTATTCTCCTTTAGGAAATATTAGTTTATTTGTACCATTGCATTCCATTTTCCTACAATTTTGACTATAAATATCGAGTAACGAGCATTCCGATCGAAATAGCAGTATCTAGCTTACGTAACGTTCGCCGAAGGAAATACTTGAATCGGTCGAGGCCCAATCGGCTTTGCGGAGGTAAGAATTTCAAAGAGGAGCTCGAAGTCGCCGGAAACGACAACTCGTCTGTTTCGGTCGGTCCAGCAAGGAACGCGCCATTATCTGAAACGCACCACGATGAAGCATCGCGGTGGGATATCGGCGAAACGGTCGGGAATCACAGAGAGAAAAATTTTCGCGAAACAAAAGGACCGGTGAAAGCGACGGTGGCTTCTTCCCTTTTACAAGAACCGGTACACCGCACCGGTTGCGAGTCTGTTTCATTGTCCCGTCGCGATCTATACCGAATAATTAGACTGGCTCGGTAAAACGGGACGGGTCGTTCCACGGGACCGCTGGACCACGGTAATTCGCATAATCTCGCCGGGATACGGCATTATGTAAATGCTCGGCAAGGAAACGTCAGCCCCTTAGCAAGGTCGCCGGTTTAATTGAATAGTTGAAGCCGGCATTTTTGGTCCACCTCGCGCCTTGGATCGCAATGGCAACTCGAGGAGAAGGAGAAACGAGATCGGTCTTTCTGCTCGAGGCACAATTAAACGCGATTTAAAGC